GCTCCAAAATTTTGCCAACCTCAGCTAATGGGGGGGGGGGGGAGACATTCAGTGAAAGAATCTGCAAGAGGTAGATCTAAGGAAGGGGCGATCCCCTAGATTCCCTCCTCCCGTTCTATTTGCTTCCAAATAGTGAGTGGCTGTATCATTGAAGTTCCAGTTGACGGTGAAGTCAATGGTGGGCTGGGGACCCTGGTGCTGGATGCCCTGCAGTGGGGATGGCCGGATGGTATTTTCGGAGGCCGAGACTGCCGTTTTGTAGAGACCGCTGAACACCCCCGCTGTTGATCTCCATGGTGGAGGTGAGGTCATTCTTCCAGGTGCCGGTCAGGGAGCACTAAAGGAGAGCGGGAGGGGGAAGGAAAACGGCTCACGGCGCTAGCCAAGCCCAGCTGTCCAATAGGTAGAGACTTTGGATCCATTTTCTCCGTGAGATCTGAAAACAGCCGTTACTTCCACGTGCCCGACTCCCAGGCTGCCCACGCCAGGTGGGGCTGGCAAAGGCGGCGCATCGCACAGTCCGTCGGTGGAGGCGCCTGCCAGACCGCATCCGGGACGACACCCCGCGGGCGGATCGCTCTGCCATCTGCGCAGCGAGAGAGAGCACCCGCCCCGGCTGCAGGTTGCCAAAGAAGCGGCCGAGCACGGAGGAGGAAACGCTGGGCGTCCCTCCGTCGGGCGGGAATCCCGCCCCTCCCCGTCGAGGGCGGTGGGGGGAGCCGGTGCGAGCGGGGCTTTATAAGAGGCGTCCCGCCTGGGATTGGCACATCTAGAATGCTGGAGACCACCATGGCGATTGGCTTTTCAGCTCTGGGGCTCTTCGCTTTCCTATTCGGCTGCCCCGGAAAGTTTGCCGAACCCCAAAACTCGGAGCGAACCGCCAAGGTCAGATGCTGGGTGGTGGACGGAGGGTCCCAGCCTCCACCGGGAAAATCCCCCGTCACCAGCCTCTGCTCGGGTGGGCGGCAGGAGCACCTGGTGGGAGCCGGCGGGCTGCGCAGAGGGTGCCGCTTCCTCGGGGTTGATCGCACCGGGTGCCGTCGCGCTGAGAGCCAGAGGCCCTGGGTCCCCAACGGACGGACGCCCAGCGTTTCCTCCTCCGTGCTCGGCCGCGACTCCGGCAGCCTGCCGCCGGGGCTGGTGCTCTCGCTCGCTGCGCAGAGGACAGAGCGATCTGCCCACGGGGTGTCGTCCCGGACGCGGTCTGGCAGGCGCCTCGACCGACGGATTTTGGGATTGGCCGCCTTTGCCAGCTCCACGCGGCGTGGGCAGCCTTGGGGGTCGGGCACGTGGGAGCAGCGGGTGTTTTCAGATCCTCCGGACAAAATGGAGGCAGAGTCTCTACCTGTTGGACAGCTGGGCTTGGCTAGCGCCATGACTCGGTTTCCTCCCCTCTCCCGCTCTCCTTTAGTCCTCCCTGATTCGCACCTGGAAGAATGACCTCAACTCCACCACGAAGATCAACAGCGTCAGGAACACGGGGGTGTCCAGCGGCGTCTACAAAACGGCAGTCTCGGCCTCCGACAATCCCATCCGGCCATCCCTGCTGCAGGTCATCCAGCACCAGGGTCCCTAGCCGGTCTTTGGCCTCATCATCATCTGGAACCTCTCT